ATACGTACATACATACATACATACCGCCCAAAAAGGCAGCCCCAAAGCCTCACTTGTAGATGCAACTCCAAGGCCATGATGTCTGTGGTAGACTACCACCAGTGCGATTGGCTGCGCGCTCAGCTGAACGCGCGGTTAAGGTTTTAGGGGTTTAGGGGTTGAGGATTTTAGGGTTGAGGGTTTAGGGGTTTAGAGTTTTAGGGTGTAGGGTTTAGGGGTTTAGGGTTTTAAGGTTTCAGGGTTTAGGGTTGAGGGCTGTAGGGTTCAGGGTTTTAGGGTTTACGGTTCAGGGTTTAGAATGAGCAAGTAGGATTTGGCGCTGTCGAATGTTGCGACAAACCTGGGTGGGTCTTGAGAGGAAGGTTCCCGCCGGGTACATAAAAAACTCCTGACTTTTCATGGGTTGCTAGTAGCAAAGAGAACTTGAGTAGGAATATGACTAGAGGCATTGCCTTGCTGCCAAGAATGCTGAATGATGATGGTAGGCATGTATGCTTTCCACCTTCAGTGCATACCACGAAGAATCCTGAATCCACTGAATCCCCTGTTTTTGCACAGTCGCTGCTTGACTGCAGCCTTGTGTGCGAGAGGCCACCCAAGCTGAATCTGACTGGATCACAAGCCGCTTCACCCTCAGTTGTTTATGAAGGGTCTAGGGTTTAGGGCGTCAGGATTTAGGGTTTGGGGCTTCGGGCATAAGGGTTTAGGGTTCAGGCTTTGTTTCTACTTGGGAATTTGGCAAACCAGCCGAGGGAAGATGGGGCTACCTTTACTAGGATGCTTATGATGCCTTGTCTTCGTCGTAGTAGAAAGTGAAGGCCAACTGAACTTGCCATCAACTGCAAGCACGATTATAGGCTTTGAGCAACTTTAGATATCGTGGTCCTACATCCCGTGTATAAGCATAGCAGAGGGTATCTCAATTAGACTTCAGACTGATATTGGTATTGTTTTGGGCCCTAGCCTGGGCCCAGACATCAGGCTCGTTCCCCTTCTTGCAGCTGATGCTGGATGAACAAAGAAGAACTTCCGGGTTTGGACAATGTTGGATACAGACAACTCCTCACACGCGTTTGCCCTTTGTAGGGGGGTTCTTAGTGTCGGGCCGGGGGTCTTCAGAACGATCTATTCGGCATGTGCATTTGTTTTTCTGGCAGGGTTCCTCTGCATTTGTAATTTTGGAGCTGGCCTCGGAGTCTGATACCAGAAGTAGTACTGCATACTTGTAGGGTTTTATAGGGGCATATAGGGTATATCTAGGGTTTAGGGATTAGGGCTTGGGGTTTACGGTTTGGATCTAGGATTTGGGGTTCTGTGCACGTACAGTTCCTGGCCGTGGGTTACAGTGCGCGGATTGTCTTTACAACCTTGACCGTCCCGAAATTGATGACACACATGGCTTCTAATATCCGAACAGAAACAAACAACTCCGGCAACTGGGAATTGGCAAGTATGGCTCAATGTTCTCCGTTCCTGAAACTTCAGCCCTGTATTCGCTATATGGGTGGTTGTCAAAATTATGGTCCCTTTTTGGATCCCTATTATGATACGGCACCTAATTTAGGGTACCCAAAAAGGGGCCATAATTTTGACAACCACCCTTATAATGGTCACCACAAGCAGCAAACGGGCATCTGATTCGAGGCCCAGTTCATCCTGGCGCCAGTGTGGCTGTGCACGGGGCTGCCCACCCTGATTCTTATGCCGGGAGCCTTCTAGGTCTAGAGTTTGGAGTTCAGGGATTGACGTTTTTGTGTAAAGTAGTGGGGTTCAGGTGTTAGGCTTTAGCTTCTAGGGTTTGGGTTTGCGGGCTTTCATTATCATCAGCGTTTCCCGGGGGCTGCCTCATTCGCAAATGGCCAAAGTGCAGTTGTCTCCTTGTGGGATGACTCTATGTCTCTATGTTGGGGTTTGTCGAAATTGCAAATTCTGTCGTTTTGGAACTCCCCACTGCTATCGTCACATTTGGACAACCCTCCGGTATACTATACTCCCGCAATTTCCAAGACTTGGTATACGAGGTCAAGTACGAGTAGGGTTTGTCCATCAACGGTAGGCGAATGCTTCAGGCTTGGGGTTGGATTTTAGGCGTTTGAAGGGTTTTGCCGGTTTTGCGTGTACATAGACGTTGGGCGGGCGCCGCAACTTCTTCGAGCTATCAGAGCAAGGGCGGATGCTTCACAACTATGGGAGGGATCCAATGTTCAGAAGGAGGGGGCAAAAACCGAGAGGGTTGGGCTTCAGCATTTAGGGTTTTCGGCGCGCTGCCAACATGATAGTTACCTGACTGCAAGCTAGAATTCAGTCCCCAGTCTGACGCGGCCTAAAGCACCAACTTTAGGCTCGGCGATCCCCTTAAACCTGTTTAGGGTTTAGGGTTAAAGCCCTCAACCCCGAAAGCGTGATGTTGTCTGCGAGCCCTAAACCCTCCACGCTTTCGGAAAAAACCTATAAAAGCCTATATACCCCTATATAAACCCTATAAACCCTAATTATGGTAGTTTCCATTCTCTTTTCCTTTACCCCTATATTATACCCGAATTGAGGCCGATATTGGCCAAAGTCAGCTCAAAGCACGGATTCAGCCCGAAGGACAAGCTTTCCTTGGACAAAGCCTCAGACGTTGACTGGGCCATTGTTGGTACTTGTGTTAAGTAACTTCAAGTATTGAAAGCAACGAGGGCTATGAGGAATGTGAAGTTGCAAATGGCAGATTGTATCGCGAAAAGGAAGTTCATAAGCGGCTCCTCATTTGTTCATCCTGAGATGTGGTGGCACGTGAACCTCTTCTGGTTCCACACCGGCTGCGACGTCTTTAGCGGCTACTTTCAGGTGCGCTGCCGGTTTTTGCTTTTGAAGAAGCGGATGTTCTTACTGGGTCTTAGTGGAGAAGGGACTACTAACCCCATATCATCCCTATATAATGTATTCCCTTATTTCCTACCAAGAACGAATAAATTTTGACAGATGGCTTCTTCGTGTCAGGTCATGCCTGTGCTGACAGAACTCTACACTCGGATGAGCGAAGTTCTTAACTGGCAGGTGCATCACGTCGCTGAGAAGAAGTGATTGGTTTCATGTGGTAGTTGCTATAGATGGGGGTACCCTAGTTCTGACACCTATATGAAGTATAGTGTAAATTCCTTAAAGGGTGCTATATAAGGGATTATACAGGGGACTGCTATGAGTTTTAAGGGGGATACTAGGAGTTTGGACTATGGCTCATATGTTGTAGTGAGTGCTTATTGGCATGGGGTCTCACGAAAAGGGATCTCGGCTTCTTAGAAGCCCCAAAGCCATCCCAAGCTTTCAATATTCCCAGAATATCCGAAGTAGGCCTGATTAAACCTGTACATCCCCCACATACCCCTCTAAAGATTCTTTACAAAGCCCCATGTGAACTGGTCTTATCGAGGCCCAGCACATTCTTACCCTCGATGGCACCCGCTCCGGGCTGAGACCTTGTTGTCCTTGGCAGGTTTTAAGGGGTTTAGGGTTTAGGGCCTAAGGGTTTGGGTTCAGGGTTTAGGGTTGAGGGGTTTAGGGTTTAGGGTTGCGAGTATAGGGCTTAAGGTTTCGGGTTCAGGATCTGCGGTTTATGGTGTAGCGGCCGGAAAAGACATGTTAGAGAAACGTGGGGATCTAAAGGGTGTAGGAAATAATGGAAAACCAAATGGAGAAGAACATGAACACCGATATAGTGGCAACTAAGTTTATATCAAGATTTTCAGGGATGGTTGGATTTTTCGTGGTTCTAGATTCCTTGTCCAATTTTTTCTGTATTGTAGTATGCGATACCTCAAATCCACCTCAGATTATGTTGGAAATTAGTTACGCACCTACAGTGCCGTGGCGGCTCACAAGCATGACATGAGCTATAGACTAAACTACTTGAAGGGGGGTTATATGAGCCTTTGTCTACACTCCTTGTCTAAGGTAATGGACGCCTCCTGCGGGGTGTTGCTTTACAGGGTTCCCCGTCGCTTTACAAGGTTTCGTGGGCATAGATGTTGCAACTAGAAATTAAGGTGCGCTTTAGATGTCGGCTGAGCTGAAGGTGCACTGCAATGACTGTTGGATTGCGGGATGTCGCTTTTCAGGTTGCCCCATCGCTTTAAGTTACAGGTTGTTTGTATTCCGTGTCCAACCTTTTCTTGCTTGCCATAAACCAAGTTTAGAAGCTAGCATATACGAGATTATATAGGGGAGTATTATATGGGGTTAGGAAGGGGAACACTGGGAGTCTAGGCTATGGCTCAAATGGTGGGTATGTCCATCTCCATGCCTTGTCAGGAATCGAGTTCACTTTGACTGCGCCTATTTCCTTGAACTGATTATCGAGGCCGGATTCTCAGTTCACAGTGCCGTGAGCCAACAAGTGGGTGGTTGTCAAAATTATGGTCCCCTTTTGGATGCCTATTATAATACTCCAGCACCAGAATTGGAGCCCTTCATTTGACCTTTGCTACTTTTTTGCGCAAGCTGGGGCCCGCGGGGACATGTATCTGTCATTGCTAGCAGTGGGTGGACACATTTACGGTTTTTGGCATATGACATGCGTTGAGTGAGGCCCCTTTTGCGGCGCTGCTGGTGTATCTCTTTCTGGTCCAGGCCATCTCTTGCCATCCCTCATTTGCAGCTGTGAAGCATGCACTGGTGTGTAACCCAGGACCACAGACGCTACTTAGTCGAACTCTTTGCGTTAGCCGTGCAGTTTGCTGGCACAGTGTCGGATCCTGAGTCATTGGATATTTTCCTCAGGTGCATGCAATGTACAATGATGGAGTGATGGACTGGGTTGCTGTTAAGGAACTTAAATTAAGTTACTATATTGGGGGAACCCTATTATTTACTATATATACCCATTATGGTAACTTAATTTAAGTTCCTTAACAGCAACCCAGATGATGGAGTGATGGAGCGCCGAGGATGTACTACGCACCCGGGATCATGAATCTGGAGCATGCCTGCTGGACTCACCCTGAGCGCGGGAATTGGTGGACTTCCTTCTGCTAACCTGAGCCATACTCTAAACTCCCTAAAGCGGGGTTATATAAGGGATTGTATAAGGGATTATTACAGGGAATATTCAGAGGGATACTAGGAGTGTAGACCATGGTTAATCGGAGATTGGTGAGCAGGAGCTTTAACGCTCTGGGTTGCAGGTCCCTTTTTCTCGTTTATGTACAGTCTGTGCCTCCCACCGAGATATGATGGATACCAAAATCCTGCACGACCCTATGTTCCCGAATCATGCTATTATAGTATACTGAGGTCATTCAGATTCTTTAGTATGAGCAGTTGTGGGAGTAGGACTTTGGGCTTCGGAGTGTCCTGGAGGCAACACCCTACCAAAAGTCGCCTAAGATCTTCTTCATATCCGGTCTGTCATGTTGCACACCCATTATTTGGCGCCCATCCCTATACCCTGCCCTAACCCTACACCCAGCACAGGCTCAGTTGGGCTGACAAAGCATGCGGTAGCGTGCAGGCCCTGGAATTCCGCAGCAACGTTTAGGGCTAAGGGTTTAGGGTTTCTAGTGTAGAGGTTTAGGGCTTAGGATCGGGCAGGTTGTAATTGGCGAGGTTATTGAATTGGCATGGGCATTATACGTGCTAGATTTCCTGCGTAGCTTCCTGGCGCCAAAATACTATACTCCTGCTTCTGGGAGCCCCAGAAGGGCCCCTGATACTGGGTATAGTGGTTTTGTAGGGATATTACCCCCCTATAGTGGACAATCAAATGGAAAAGAACATGGAACATAACATGGAAACTGGGGTAACATAGATTTTCATTGTCAGGGGGTACATTCGCTATCAGGGCAGTAGGACTTTGATACTAGGCGGAGGGTTTTGTTGAGACATCCCTCACTCCGGGCACCGAATAATAGGAAGGCTAATTTGAGCTACTGTCAATGTTAGAGTTACCAAGGGACCATTG